TTAAAGGACTAAAAAAATGCGAATATTATGCTTGTATAAAAATTGCGAATTTTAGCAAAGTACTTAAGTTAACAAATATCCTTTATGCTCACCGACTAATTCAATGTGAATAAAATGAAATTAAATAGTAAATATTCATGAACTTTAATAACCATTTTAATTACTTAGGTTAATAAATGTTCTTTATACTCACTCACTGATTTTGTGTGAATAAAATGAAATTAAATAATGAATATTCATGGACTTGAATATTTTATTGAAAATTGCGAAATTAACCCTTATAAATTATATCATAGTTTGGCTTAAACATAAATGTGTTTACATAACATTATGATATTATTATATGGGAGGTGACTATATTGAAGGAAGACTTGACTATGTATAATAATAAAATAATTATGTAATTCTTAAACTAAAATTACCATCCGAAATTTCATATGCCTATGTGAATTTTTTGCATGGAAATAACTTCACACTTTCATATAAACTATCGGATAACATCAATATTGGGCAGACGATGAAAAATAACAGTAAATTTTTTCTTCATTTGCCAATATTGTATACATAGTGGGCATATTGTAGTGCTGCCTTGGAATTGGGCTTTCAATTGTATTCTGTGATCGGTTTGTTTCCAGAGTGCTATCTAGATAAAGTCTGTAATCGGGCATTGAATTATATTACAAATATAATTGATTAATCCCGATGATACTATCATAGAACAGCACAATATGATTGGTGCACTACGAAAATTTTTGATCATTGTTTTTTCATATAAATATATTATAAACTTTAAAACGTTATAACTCTTTTTTTACTTAAACAAATCTACTACCGTAACTTGGGTTCCGTTCATTTCAGTTTACCGACAGGCAATTCACCGACAAGTTCATTTCACCGACAGGTTCATTTCACCGACAGTCATTTGACCGACAAAGTAATTCTGATCATTTTGTTATGGTCAGGTTAGAATTAGAGCTAAGGTTAGTGTAATTTATAAAAAACTTGTCTGTTAAACGTACTGTCGGTGAATTGTACTGTCGGTGAACTGATTCGGTGAGAAACCTCGTAACTTATGAGATATGCAAAAATTAACGTGGCATTAATACTATGTTGCCAAAGTTTCAATTTACTTATAAAATTTATCGATTTTCAAAGTGAAAATTGGTAAATTTTATAAGCAAATTAAAATTTGGGAATATTGGTTTAATTTTACGCATAACTCATAAGTTACGGTAGTAGATTTGCTTAAGTAAAAAAGAGGTATAATGCTTTAAAGTTTATAATATATTTATATAAAAAAGATTTTTCCAAGACGGAGCTCCGGGAACAAACTGGACATAGGATTAATTGAAAACCCAATGACAGGTTTTCCCTCGGCAACACTCATTGCTAACATATAGTAAATGTAAAAAAAAATTGTTACTACTAAATAATTATATAGTTACTTTATAGTTAATTGTAAATAGTATTAAGTTACTAATTCGCAAGTTTCAGTAAAATATAATTACTTAAATTAATAAATGTTCCTTATACCCACAAACTAATTTAATGTGAATAAAATATTATTAATTAGTAAATTTTCATGAACTCAAATATCTTACTTAATTACTTAGATAAATAAATGTTCTTTGTACGCACTCACTATAGTAAAAAAATAAAAATTGAATAATAAATATTCATTTACTTGAATAACATATTTTAATTACTTTAGCTAATAAATCTTCTTTATACTCACTAACTAATTTAATGCAATTAAATAGTAAATATTCATAAGCTTGAATAGATTATTTAATTACTTAGATAAATCACTGTCTTTATACCCACTCACTACAGTAATTAAAATGAATTAAATAATAAATATTCATAACTTTAATAACTTATTTGAATTACTTAGGTTAATAAATGTCCTTATACTCACTAACTAATTTATTGCGAATAAAATAAAATTAAATAGTAAATATTTATGAACTTGAACAGCTTATTTTAATTATCACTCCCTAAATTAATGAGAATGAAACCAAATTAAATATTAAGTATTCATGAACTTTAATAGCTTATTTTAATTACTTAGGGTAATAAATATTCTTATACTCACGAACTAATTTAATGTAAATAAAATGAAATTAAATAGCAATTAATTATAAACTTGAATAGCTATTTTATTACTTAGGTTGAAAAATGTTCTTTATACTCACTTCCTAAATTAATACAAATAAAAGTAAAGATTCATAAACTTGAATAGTAATTTTAATTACTTAGGCTAATAATGTTCTTTATACTCACTTCCTAAATTAATGTAAATTAAAAAGTAAATATTCATCAACCTTGATAGTTTATTTTAATTACTCAGGTTAATAAATATTTTTTATGCTCACAAACTAAATTAATGCGAATAAAATGAAATTAATTGTAAATATTCATGAACTTGAACTTTTTGCTTTAATTAGATTAATAAACGTTCTTTATACTCACACCCTAAATTAATACAATTAAAATGAAATTAAATAGTAAATATTCATTAACCATAATAGTTTATTATGTTTGTTATACTCACCAACTAAAATTTATGCGAATAAAATGAAATTAATAGTAAATATTCATGAACCTGAACATTTTGGTTTAATTACTTATATTAATAAATGCTCTTTATACTCACGCCCTAAATTAATGAGAATAAAATGAAATTAAATAGTAAATATTCTTAACATGAATTGCTTAATTTAATTACTTAATAAATGTTCTTATACACACCTCCTAAATAAAATAAAATTAAATAGTAAATATTCATAACCTTAATAGTTTCATTTAATTACTAAGGTTAATAAACGTTTTTTATAATCACCAACTAAAATTAATGCGAATAAAATGAAATTAATAGCAAATATTCATGGACTTGCCGTTTTGTTTAAATTACTTAGATTTGATAAATGTTATTTATACTCACGCCCTAAATTAATGAGAATGAAAATGAATTAAATAATAAATATTCTTAACATGAATTGCTTATTTTAATTACTCAGGTTAATAAAAGTTCTTTATACTTACCAACTAAATTATGGAATTAAAAGTAAATATTTATAAACTTAAATAGCTTATTTTAATTTACTTATGTTAATAAATGTTCTTTATACTCACTAACTGAAATAATGCGAATAAAACGAAATAAATTGTCAATATTCATGGTCTTTACTGGCTTATTTTAATTGCTTAGATTAGTAAACGCTCTTTATACTCACTCTCTAAATTAACGTGAATAAAATGGAATGAAATCAAATAGTGACTTGAATAACTTAATATATTGCTTAGATAAATAAATGTTTTTTATACTCACGCACTAAATTGATGCAAATGAAATGAAATCAAATAGTGACCTGAATAACTTAATGCATTGTTTATATTATTAAATGTTTTTTATACTCACGAACTAAGTTAATATGAATAAAATGAAATTAGATAAAATTAAATTAGATAGTGAATGTTTACGAATTTGAATAGTATATTTGAATATCCTTTAACTCACATTCTGAATTAACGAAATCAAGCAGTAAATATTTATGAAGTAAATGGCTTATTTTAAATAGCATATTTGAATATCCTTTAAACTCACATTCTGAGGTAACGAAATCAGTTAGTAAATATTTATGAAGTAAATGGCTTATTTAAATACTTGGATTAATAAATGTTTATACTCACGAACTAATTTTACACCAATAAATCATTTGATTTGATTGTTTAAACGAAAGATCAATGAACTATCACAATAAGATTACATATACATAAAATTATATACACTTACTCCCTAAAGAATTAAATAGTTTTTAGAAAATTTAATTGAAAATAATAAATAATAAAAACAAATACGTAACTTGTTAGCCCAATTCATGCATTCGTCAAAATTCTCTTTCACACCACACCCATAGTAGTAACTAGTGATGGGCAAATCGCGGTTTTTTTAAAATCCCGCGCAGCCGCGCGGGATCACGCGCGGGATCCGCGGGATAGGATAGAGTTTTTTAATTTCTCACGAATAATAAATATATTCTTGGTGCATTACTTTTATATAAAAAATTAAAAATTTTAGATTCTTTACGTTATTAATATTAACAGTTTAAGAAATTAAATTTTCTATGTGGAATGATAAATAAACAAAAGGTTCTACAGAGAAATGCGTACATATGTTGGGGTATGCGATATCATAGGATTTACAAATCTATTGAAGATCATGTATTAAAAGTCGGTATGAAATTTTTGACATAACCTATAATTTTTCTGAAATACATATAGTAAAATATGTATTTTTCAAATCGTTATTTCTCTTTTATTTTTGAAGATAGAGATTTAAAATTTGCTTAAGTTTAATAAAAATATGTTCTAGTTTAATAATATAGAGAGTTTTTTAGCCTATACAAAAGCCAATTGTGTAAAAATCTTCGATAAAAAAATCTTTTTTATCGTTGATATTATCGTTCTATTAAAATTTTTTAATAAGTGGATAAAATAAAATATTCGCTCTATATTATCATTCTATATAATATTCTCAATAAGATTGGATAAATTTTTTTACAAACAATTAGTTCTTTTTAAAGTTATAGCAATTGAAAGTTTTATATTCGTATATATTGCAAATAACTATTTATATAAAATAGCTTTTGTTTCGATAAAATATAATAACTAAATGCAGAAATATCTACAAAGGCAATATTAGTCTTTGTTTTTATACCTTAAAATGATAAATTGATCAAAGCGATATATTAAAGTAATGTATCAAAGTGATATTTTATTAAATAGTGTAATTGTTTAACAAAATCGATTTTGATCGAAGTAATATATTAAAATGATGTATTAAAATGATATATCAAAGCAATATATCAAAGTGATATATCAAAGTATTTTACTAAATAATGTGATTGTTTGTTACGATTTTATAATAAAGATTTATTATAAAAAAACCTTTTTTTACAGCTTTTTTTTTCAATTTCGAGAATTAAAAAAAAAGCAAAATGGGTAAATTATCTAAAACTCGCAAACATTGTAAAAAAGTGCGTCTTGTCAAAATATCTAAATCTGATAAACTATCATCTCCAATTAATCAATTTAATCAATGCCAAATTCCCACATGTAATTTTTATATTTATCGTCAAAAAAATATTCAATTGGTTATGATTGAAAATAATTCAATCGACCTAAGCGTAAACAATTCAATCGATCTAAGCGAAAACAATTCAATCGACCTAAGTGAAAACAATTCAATCAACCTAACTGAAATTGAAAATATAGTTAATCAACAACAAATATCAACTTCTCAATTAAATATCTCTAAAACAGAAAAAATAAAAAAGGATATAATAACAAAAATCAATTATTTGTCAGAAAAAGAACTATTAGATAGTCTTCAATTATTTAGTAATATGAAGTATAAAGACGGACCAAATAAAGGGAAAATTTTGTTTTCTTATTTGCAAGAAAAAGCTACAGAGTTGTTATTTACAAGTCATGGAAAATCGAGCTCTAATTTTCAAGAAAAACTTAAATTATTAAAAGCTGAGAATTCAAAATTAAAAAAAAAATACTTAGATTAACCCGTAGAACAAAATCGTTGATGATTAAACTTAGATATTCTAAAAGATCTAAAAGTAAATATATTTCCAAAGTTAGATCATCTAATAGAAAAAAAAGAAAGATATCAGATAAAACTATCAAAAAAGCTATAGTTAAAAAAATTAAACAAAATAATCGTGAATATACACCTGAATTTGTTTCTTTGACTACGAATTTAAGTATTCTTGGTTATACTTCGATATTATCAACAATACAATGCACAAAAGAAATTATAACATTTCTTACTGGTCAACCTCTTAAATCATGCTTATCTTCAAGTACTTTATCACGATGGACAAAAGAAGTAGCAGAAATTTCTATACAAGATAATATACCTCAATTTTCGAATTGATTTGGCTCATATGGAATTTTAGCAGACAAAAGTACTAGAGGAGAAAAAAAAATATTTTTAGTATGTATAGCTTACTGGAACGAGAATAAACAAGAACCTATGCTTACTATTCTTAATATGAAAGATTTGGATCGTTGTTTAGCATCCACGGTATCTTTAAGCGTAGGAGAAGCTCTTAGTAAAAATTTATTAAATCCAGTATAATGTCAATATTGGCTTACCGATAATACAGCTTATATGTCAGGATCAACAGGTGGTGCTATTATTAAATTCAATCAGCAATATTCGGCAAAAGCAACTCGAATTCCTTGTGGTCTACATGCGTTACATATAGCTTCAACACATTTTAATGATATGACATTTGGAAAAATTAAATCAATTTCAGGAATTTCTTTAGATCCACATCCGTCGAATGTTCTTAATCTGGCTTATTATCTTCATTGCGGATATAATGAATCTGATAAAGACAATCCATTAAATATGAAAACAGAGAAAATTAGCGAATTATATAAAGCATTACTTAATTATAATCTTAAAAAATATCAAAAACCTATCTCAACCCGTTGGTTATATCAATTAACTACAGCAAAACTATATTTAGATTGGAAAGATATTCATTTACAATTTTCTAGTTGGTTTATCAACCAACTAGAAAAAGCAAACAAAATTCCTGAAAGTTATTTAAAAAAATGGAAAACGTTTTATAATTTTTTACAAAATGATAAATTAAATATAGAAATTCAAATAATAGTTAGTTTTGACGAATAGTTTTATGAAAAAGTTATGTTCTTTTTAATCGGTAAGGATACAAATACTACGAATCTTCCAAGTGGATTTAGAGCGAATGAAATGCCAGATAAAGTCGAACAATGGATTAATGAATTGCAAATAGCAGCTGAACATCCTGACGAAGTCTTTGTAGAAGAGATGCTATTAACTCATGAAGCTTTATCTACAGATGAGTTTGATGATTTAATAAATAGAATTGGACATGGATTAGTAAAAGCATTAGATGCATTTAAACGATGGATGGATCCATGGACACATTTACCTCTTTCTATATGCCGGCTTGGAGGAATTTATGGTCCCGATTTTGCAATTGCAATTATTAAGGTTGTACTAAATATGCATATTTCAGAAAATTTTACAGAAATGCAAAAAAAATATATAAACGGATTAGTAAGTGATATAAAAAATAAGAAACAAGAATCTTTTGGATTATTTGAAGCATTAAAAGATAATGATTTTAAAGAACAATTTTTGGCCTTTTTACAATCTACCTATACCGAATTACCTAATTATCCATTAATACATGATTTCATTAAGCACAAAATTTGGCCTATAATCGTTCATCAGCAACACCTCAAGGGTATGTTCAACAAATATGATCTCAAAACACATCCTAATATGTCTATCGACCTACAAGAATCAAGGATGCAACTCTCAGGACCTAAACCTCTCGAAACTTCACTTACTCAAGAAAAGCTATCAGAAATTCGTTTAAAAAATAAACGAAAGAGAACTATTGTTGAAAATAAATCAATTAATAAAGAATCTGCAACTGAAATACTTCAAAGGTTTCTAAAACCTTCTAAATAAAAAAAAAAAAAACTAACTTACATATATTTTATATAATTAGATTCTTCATTTGCATTCGCAATTTGCCTTTAATAGTTTATATTCGTATCTTCGTAATCAATTATACATAAATAATTTCAAAACACTATTTTAAAATATAAAATTTACACAATATTTCAAAATTTTTCAATAATATAAACTTCAGAATCCTCATAATACGTACAATTCTAGACAGATCTAATAATAATAAAAATTTTTTAGTTTCAAATCTTGATAATATTTTCAGAACTATTGTAACCAGCATATATAATAATCAGGTAAACTTTTTTTTGTCATATTAAATATACCATGATTGAAGTCTAAGTTTTGGTTTTTCACAAGGTACGTACGTACGATATTTTTCAGATATTTTTTTTCAGATATCTAGAACCAGTGAAAAAAAAAGGTATGTACGTACGTACGTACGTACGGTTATTTTTTTTTTGTACAACGTTGAGAATTTGTGAAACAGCCACAAAAAAATCCGATCATATAAATTTGTCATATGGACATTACTTAGATTTGATTTACATAGTGCATTGGATACCTCAGTACATATGTACATTAATAACAAATTAGGAATTGGCTTGATTATGTTAATGCAGGCCGGATTAGATGTAATGTAGGCCAGATGAAAAGCTAATGTGGGCTGAATAATTTCATATTAAAAATCCCGCGCGTTGCCCATCACTAGTAGTAACAAACGCCTGTTTTACAAATTCCTTTAATGTTGCCTGCCTCAGCTGACTTTAAATAATATGCAAATGCCTTATTCATTCCATTTTGACTCCAATTCCTAAATAATAACAATTTCCAACTTGAAATAATCCATCCGAATTGTTCATATCTGCAGATCTTTGATAAAAAATGAATGCTTTATTTTCATTTTTCTCAATTTTAATCCCATATTCATGACAATAGCCAAGCCATAAAAGTTTAGAAGAAACTTCCATCTTGGCAAATTCTTGATAGCTAATGAAAGTTAATTGTTCTAGAATGTTAGTAAGTTGAGTAATATCATCTGAGCTGGTATCTAACATTTTAAACGCAACAAAAATTAAAAAAATTCAATGCTGTATTAGGCAAGGGAACTCTAATTTCTCACAACACTTCTGTTTAGATGTATGAAAATTTTGGACAAAATAGATTATGCAACTTTTTGTTGCAATGAAATTCAAGTTTCGGTGTAATATAAAAATTAGAGAAGTTTCTCAAAACTTGTCGGTGACCTGTGATTTTACTTAAGCCACTTTTTGTGCCTTAATGAAAAAGATCCTTGCAAAATTTTAGTAGCACCTATGTCTTATTTTACCTTAATACCAGGATTATGATAAATTTTATAGTTATTTTGCGTATTTATTCATAATGATATCAGATCAAAATTTGAAATCAATTTCGTCCAATCAGGAACAGGATTCCTAAACGCCAATAGGAACTAGGGGGGGATTAGTAACCAATAGAACATATTTATTTAATTGTTTGGTATACATGTACGTATGGACTAGAGTTGCAGGTGAAACTAATTTTAAGTTTCACCAAGTTCCACCATGAAGTTTCTCATTGGCTGTTCTATTTAGTTCACCAGTTTCATCTGCAACTTTAGTATGGACATACGTGCATACATACATTTAAAAAGGCTTCATGATTTTCGGAGTGGACCAAAATAATATACATTATCCGACAAACTTATATGGTCATAAATTTATTTCTGTACGTTATTTTTTTGTGATACGCTGTAATCATGTTAGCCGATCACTTTTTTTGAAATTAAATAATATTGGCCAATCAATTTCGATTTTAAAGCATTAGTGTTATTACTCTTACATATGTTATGCGACATTTAATTTATGGCATTTTTGATTCGCAAATTATAGCTGTTTTTATAAATTTTGAAACATCAAGCAAAAATTTACCGATGATAAGCTTTCGATTTGGAACGTATAATAAAAAAGTTCAACATGAACAATATATTACCGGCTTAAAAATATATATTACACAGGTTATTATTTCAAATAACCAAGGTTTTATCATTTGCTTTGAAAAAAGATGTGGCCTCTGCTAGTGTTACTGCCTAAACCGAATCTTTCGGCCGGGCGAAGCCTCCGAAACCTAGGTTCGCCAAGGTTCCAAGTCCGAAACTGAGCGAAACTTGATCCATCTAATACACGATGTTAAACGGCTTATTTATTGGTAATTGTCGCATTCTTTTATTATATTGCTTATTGTCCAATGTGATAAATAGCATTATAAAAAGATGTGACAATTACCAATGAACATGCCTATTTAATGTCGTACTACGGAAAATGTAAGCTTTAAAAATCCCTATTCATAGGGTAAACCAAAATCTCTCGCGTAATAATGATCATGCTAGTACTCAAAAGAGGCGTCGGATTTGGTGAGTACTAAGGGTAAGTGTTACTTTATTAACTGTAAATTGTGAGACTTATTTCTTTTATATTCAAAACGCATTACTTATATACTTTTTCTTCTATCTACTAAATGCACTAAATACACTGCTTACGCTATTGTGAGAGGTAAAACGTGACCTAGCTTTAGGCACTTGGGAAACGTGATCATGACCCGAACCAAAGCCTCCTGAACCAAGGTCCCGAACTGAAGCTAAGCTGCAGGATCCCGCATGTGTAAATAGCATTTAATAAAATGTTATATTGGGTTTTGTTCAAGGCAAAGCTCATTGAGAACAATTGTATAATGGCTTTATGTCATAGCCATATAAATAAATCATTGTAGCTTGTAGATTCCTTCCCAATACTCAATTTAGTAAAGTTGGATTAAAACCTTCTTTGCATTTCTCTTGTATAAAAATCTTGTAATTTCTGTTAGTTAAGTAGAGAAGAGATATTGATCATTCATTAGTAATAAAGACATACCTTAAAACTAGGATCTTAGTGGCAGTAGGATCCTTGGTTCTTAGATCAAATCTTCCATGTCTTTCTTATGAGTTGTTTTATGTCTTTGTATTATGTTTGTTATGTTTTAATTATAAGGAACCTGGTAGTTCCAAATCTGTCTCTCACACTATATATACTAAATACATTACTTATGTTATATATACCAAATACATTAATACACTACTTACACTATATATACTAAATATATTACTTATGTTATATATACCAAATACATTAATACATTACTTACACTATATATACTAAATACACTATATTCATTATATCTACTAATTATGTTAATTATGTTATATCTACTAATTATATTATATTAATTTTTTTTTAAATATTAATGGTAAGGTCATGCTTTTAACTTTATTGAAATTCAATTGAAGGTTTTATAAAAAAAAGCTTGTTTTTAAATTACATATAAAGAATAATGACTCAGACATATAATTTGTAACCTAAACCTACAAGAATGGTCAAAACTCATCTAGATTTAGGTTTGAATAATAATATAATAGAAAGAAGTATGGTATTTAATCTATTGGATAGTCCAAAAATCAATTTTAGTAATAATTTGTAATATTGAAATAGAAAATAAAGGCAGACTAGAAGAATAACTATGAGTTGAGTTAGTAGAAAGTATTATTTGAGACTATGCAGAATATAAATTACAGTATAGAATCTATATTTGTTTGTATATTTGTTAGTTTAACTGAAGAAGAAATTTGATAGAAAGAGTAGTAATAGTATAGTAAGAAATAGAAACATTGTAAATAATAAAAATAAGATTGATAGGAACTAAATCATATAGAGTAGAAATAAAAGAAGATATATGTAAAGAGTTATGAAGTTTGAAACTGTTAAGTATAAGTATTTCAGTATATAAATCAGAAACAAGATTGGCAGGCATATTAAGATTAGTTATATTTAAAATATTATTAAAAAAATTAGAGATTAAGTAGTAAATTGTTTGGGTTAATGGACAGATAACCCAATGAAGTAAAGAGCTGATTTGGTTACATTAATAATAAGAGAAAAAAATAAAGAGTTACATTTATAAAGAGTATAAGGAACAGAATATTCATCTATAAGAATTTTAATTTGAAAAGTTTTCAGAATAAATGAATAAAAGCTGTAAACAAAATTAGAAATTTTTTGATTATTGTTAATATAAAGTTATGTAGTTTTTAGTTAATATAAATATAATGTTAGACTATTGTTGAAAATAATATTGAGATGTCCAAAGTATTATAATATGGACTTAGCATATAGTTCAAATAAAATGTCAGATAGGAATTTCAATAAGAAATTTATTGATAAAAAGAATATACTTAAGGTTATAAGGATTATTAGTTAAGAATATTAGATAAGGTAATATTTGGTGATTATGAATAAATTAATCAGCAAGATTGTTAAATGGATCAGCTTAGTGTACAATAACTTTATAAAAAATAAGTTAAATTTCATAAGATTTAATAAAATTGATAAGTATTTGTCAGATAGAGAAATATAGAGTATGAGTATAAGAAAGAGTAGATGCTAATTAGTAAATATTATAATATTTAGAGATTACTGATTGTGAATTAATAAATATGTAAACAGAGCAATATCTAGGAGCAGTAATAATTACTGAGAAAATAATAAGAATTTCAGTTTTGAAAAAGCATAGTCACAGTTTAACTTGTATTTAAAATGAGTTAATAGTTATAAAGTTATCAACTTGAACCCAACTTATATTCATAGAGTATTGTAAGGTATCAAGATTAATAACAGAACTATCAGTGTAAAATGAAATAGATGATAGATTATGATTTGAGTTAGCAATAGTCTGAAGATTATTACCAAGTTGATATAATTCAAAAATAGGAGGTAGTTGTTATAAATTAATTATAAATAAAAGAGAAGATGAAATATATAAGAGATGTTGAAAAGCAACAGAGTATACAATATCAAGAATGTTTGCATAAAGGTAAAGAGTTTTATCAAGATTAATGTAATAAAATAACTTAGTAACCAAATTAGTAGAAATAAAGATAATATATTTGTTAGCAATTGTATTTAAATTAAGGTGATATTTAGTACATAATGTGGTAATAGAGGGAAGAGTAGGATATAGATTAGAGAACTGAAACTAAAATGAGCAGTGTTAGTGATTAATGAAAATAAGACTAGTAAATGTATTATGTCTTCTGGCTTTGTCAATAATTAATTGGTTATTACAAACAGTGAGTAGCCAAGGTTTAGTATTAGAGGTAAAGTGTCAGTAGAATAGTAGAAGTAGTTTTTTATAGAAGGTAAATTATAATATTTATATAGAGTGCATTGATAAGAGTGACTTGTAATAATGTCCTTAAGGATAGTAAACTATTGTAGTATAACACCTTTTGGAATTTTATTAAGTCTAGATGAAATGTATTACCAATGCAGTAGACATGAATTATCATAAGTAGTAAGTTAGTTCAGAAAAAGAAATTTATAATATCTGAGTTGTTTTTTTAAAAATATGATATTTTGAATGAGAGGTAAAAAGAAATTTAAAAGATATAGTTCTATTATTTAAGGTGTATAGAATGTTGTAGATTAGACTAGTTGAAAAAGTCCAGCTTATATGTTTAATAAGTTGTATTATTTTGAAGTTTATGATTAATTGATTGGATCCATCAATGATTGACTTAGAATGAAGAAATATATTATATTTATTAATTATTATATATTATTGTTTAATTATGTGATCTATCTTTAATAAAATGTTACTGATTCTATTTAGATTATAATATTAACAATACTAATATTTATATTAAAATCAAACATATTGTTAATAACAAAACTTGCATTTTCAGATCCTTAATAAATATCCAAATTAGACTAAAAGTGATGTTCTAAATTATTGTTATTTTTATTAAACTTTTAGAATAATTACTATTAACAAACTTTAAATTATAAAGCAATTTGTATTAACCTAATTGATAAAAATAAAGATTAAAATAACTTAATTAATATTGCTTTTTTAAGAAAAGCTTATATCAGTATTTAAACATAATTATATAAAATATGATTTTTTATAGCTGAGTAATAATGTTGAAAATGTTTTGGATATTAGATATTATTAGATAACTAGAAGTTGTAAAAGTAAAAGAGATAGTTAAAAGAAAAAAAAAAGATTAAAGATAATAGTTAAATTTTTAAAAATGTTCTTATTTTTTTGTAAAATTCTTATAAAAAGATACATTTTAACTTGAACAAAGACATATCAATCTTACTTTATAAAAAAATTAATAAATAATAAAATTATTAAAAAATTATTTTACAAAAATAAAAAGACTAAAATAATTAAGTAAAAAAACTTTTTATGAATTCTTTTATTTTATTTAAACTTTATTTGTAATATATTTTAATTATATTAAGTTAGTAACACCAAATTAGCTTATTTTTAAAATATTAAAGAACATTACAACATACTACATTCTGAAACAATAATTTATTAATTTCTTTAGATTTTATTATAAATTAAAGTAGTTCACTTTATTTATAATCAAACTCTTCTTAATAATCCTCTGTACTAATTTTTTCATACATACTAACCTACAAAAATTATATAGTTAGTATGTTTATATATAACAAAACTTTGTCTTATAG